CTTGGCGAGAGACCATGGCATATTGGGGTAAATATTGTGGTAAACTCCATCACCACCAATTAGTTTATGAATGCCAACTGGACCCATATTAACCGTCCCGACAGATTCAACAGAGGCCAAAACATCAGCCGTAGCCGCACCAGCAAGCCCTAGATCGTTGGCAGCTGCGTCGACAGCCTCGGACAATAGATCGAGAGGAGATGGAAACTTGGTATCACCTTGCCGGACAGTGATTCGTTTTGTAATCCGACCGCAGCCAACTAAAATAGGCACACGCTGCGGATCCATGCTGGCACACGCAAGGTACTGTGTTGCCAGAAATCAGGTCCCCGTAAAACCGAACGCTTCACACAATATTTGAGCCAAGTGGGAGCATTGGGGGGAGGGCAACTGAAGGGCTGATACGGGGGACCTCTGACGAGCAGGCTAGCTCCAGCAACACCACGGGTGTCATTGGCCGCGTTGGGCAAATGAAAACCTCAAGACCTCACATAACGACACCCAAACCCCAGCATATTCCTCAAGATGGCGCCCAAAGCCCCGAAACAGCAAACATAATGCAAGAGGTCGTCCCAATAAAATCCGAAGAGGGTCTCGATAGTGCTTCACCGAGACGAGGTTGATCTGTGAATATGAAGTTTTGATTCCACTTCGTTCGTAGAGAAGCGCTTTGAACAACAAGAGCCCGCATTGGAAAAAGTCACCGCCAAAGGGCCTCAACGTTTACTCGAGAGATCGGGTCGAATCGGAATGTACGTCGGATCGGGCTGCAGGCACGGAGTCGAGATCGAATCGGATCGGCAGCGGCAAGATGACAGACAGCGCCATGCAAGCATCGGCCGGCCCCCATCGAATCACCGGAACATCGAAATCACATTAAATCGAATCGGGCGGGCCAACCATAATCGATACCGAATCGGACCAGTCGGATCGAAATGAAACCTGCCCTGGCGTACGCTTTCAAAAAAGTAGACCACACCCATTCAGCCCTCGAAATTTTCTGGGCTCTGGGCATTCCGCTTGCCAAGAGGCCTGAACCGCCCGAAGACCACGGGTGTGGCTTGGGACCGCTGAGGCGCCAAGATGGCCCTGAATGGCCCCAAGATGCCTCAAGACTGGAAACAAGATGCAGCCGATACATGGTCCCAGAGTAGTCCGAGGTTGCCTCCGCGATAACCCAGGACTGCCGCCAGGCCTTACGGGCCCCAACTGAACCCAGGCCAACCTTCGATTTGTCGAGCCTCCGCAGGATCGACAGCGCGCCGAGGGGGGAAGTGAGAGAGGGCAAGCCTTCTCAGAAGGCATCGGGTCATCGCGGAAGCCCTCCGGCCTTCTCAAAAGCCGCCTGTGGCTTCGGGGAAGGCCTAGAGAGCCGCTCACAGGGACGAAGGCCGTCTGGGCCCTGCGAGGAGGCCGCCCCGTCTGCCTGCCCACAGGGCGCCCCCGCCGGAGGAAGTTCACGACAACAAGCTGCTGCGAGCCCGCGCGCGCTGCTCGGCCCCCGTCTGCTCTCTGCGCGGCGAGCCCGTGCCCACCCCGTCTGCCGCGGCCCTGCCTCCACCCCCGCAGACTGCGGGTGCTTCGCTGCTGGGCTGCATGCGGGTGCCGCGTGGCGTGGCGGCGCAATCTGCAGAGAGCGAGGGCCTGGAGAGGAGCGGCGATGGGATGGTGGACAGCCTCCATGCCACCCTCGACCCTCCCTTGTCTCCTGTTGCTGCGAGCTGCCCGCATGGATCCGGTGCGGCCGCGCGTGGCAGAAGAGAAGGACAGAGGCGGTCTAGTCAGCAATACTCAGGAGGTCGGGGGCCTCCTCGGGAGGTCGAGGTCCCTCGCCGCTTCCTCATCTTCCTCATTACCATTCCCCCATGATTGCGCTCCTTCCTTCTCCTCCCACCCCTCCTTCTCTTCATCTTTGGCATCTCCCGCCTTCGCACTTTCCCTATAAGCCTTCTCTTCATCTTTGGCATCTCCCGCCTCCCAACTTTTCCATATCGATAACTCCGACCTGTCGCACCACCAGACATATCCGTAGAGCGGGGCGGCCATTTCGCCTGAGGCTTTTCCACCATGCTTGATCCTGAAGCATACAAATTGCAACAGTTGCACGGATGGAGGGGATCGTTTTCAAAATGTAAACTCGCCTTCGATCCGAATACGCATGAGTACGAAAACATTGCAACACTAACAGCTACGGATAACAACCCAGTGTCAACATGGAAAACTCCCCATAACGCTGCGCTCATCCGTCGCAAAAGATAGCAACTGCTACGAACTTCAATCATGGAGGGATATCGTTTTCAAAATTGGGTTTTCGCCTCATAGCCGCGCGCATTCGGCCCCACACTCGTCTTAAAAGGCAGCAACCATAAGGACGGTGTGCGGCTCTTGTTCAAAGTGGAGCTCTCACCTCAGCGTCACGCAATTTCGTGTTCAGTGAAAGCTTGCAGCAATTACCACGACGGAGAGAAACTCCTCTTCGAAATGAGTTTCGCTTGATATGTATTTGAATGCTTCAAAATTCAACGAATGTCGCATCTGCATGGATGGACGCCGGCTCCTCTTTGTAATGGGACTATCGCTTGAGACTGCCTTGAACCTCGTGATCGAAGATGGACAACTCAGCAACCGTTACACGGATCTCGGGCTTACACTGGTCCTCCTCTACTACGTGCTCATCGCTCCTTCTCCTCCTGCTCCTGCTCGCTCCTCCTCCTCTGGGGTGACGCAAAGGTGCCGATACTGCCAACTACTCCACGGCCCTCTCCTAGGGTGCGTTCTGACCAGAATCCCACCAGCCCTCTGGGCGTAGGTGGTTTAGAGAGTTTCTTCTTCCACCCCTCCTTCTTCCCCTTCAGGGAGGGGTTTACCCCTCCCCCTAACCCCCTCCCCTGGACCTGGACGGGGCGTTTCGCGAGCGGTCAGAGGGTACGTTTTCGCTCAAGATGGCTCCAAGAGCGCTTCGGAAAGCCTATGATGACCTCCAAGATTGATCAAGATAGCCTAAGATACCTCAAGATGGCTCCGAAGATGCTCCAAGAGGCTCCAACACCGCCCCAAGACGGCTCCAAGAGGCCAAATAGCTTTCCAAGGAGGTCTCCAAGAGGCAACAATCCTTTGAAGACCTGAGGAAAACCAATGATTTTTGCTTTCTCGCCATTTCGCTTCCCATGGCCATCCGAGGCCTCAAGATGGCTCCAAAATGGCTCAAGAAAGCCCCAAGAGGGGCCCAAGAGAGCCTCAAGACGACCCCAAGAGCGCCCAAGAGCGCTCCAAGAGCGCTCCAAGGGTGGTCCAAGAGGCGATGTTAGAGGCTCCCGAGGGGCGGCGCTAATCTTAACCCCCCTTCCCTTTTTTGATCGATCTCCTCCAAGATGGCCCCAAGAGCGCCCCCAAGGCTCTCAAGCGCGCCTCGTGAGGGCCTCCCACCTCATCCTCCTCATTCTCCTCTTCCTCCACTTCATCATCATCATCATCATCATCATCATCATCCTTATCTTCCTCCTCCTCCTCTTCCCCTTCCTCCATCCTCTCCTCATCCTCCTCCTCCTCATCATCATCATCATCATCATCATCATCATCATCATCATCATCATCCCATCCTTCCTCCTCCTCATCGTCCTCCTCCTCATCATCATCCGATTCCTCGTGTCCTTGTTGTTCCTATTTCTCCGCCATCTTCTCCCTGCTCAGGTACGTCGGCTTCCTAAGATTTTGTTCCTCGGTATGCTCCTTCACTTGCCAGATCAGGGCAACTCACCTGGGCATCGTCTCTGGATGGCCTCCTCCTCCTCTTATATTTCATCTTACCCCTCCTCCTTCTCTACCTCCTCAGCCTCCTCCTCCCTCCTCCCTCATATCCCTCCCCCACGTCTTCCTCCTCCTCCTCCCTCTCATCCTCCCTCCCCTTGTCACGCTTGCCGCGAGCCCTTGCCCCCTTCCCCCCTTCCACCCTATTCCCCGCTCCCCTCGCCGTCATCGTCGCCGTTCGGTTGTCTCCCTCTCGCTTCAACAGCGGCGGCACGCACCCTCGGACAATTTGGACATCGATGTCCGTTTTGTCTGGCCTCCCTCGCTTGCCGCGGGCTCTTGCCCCCTCCCCCCCCTCCCCACCACACACACACACACACACACACACACACACACACACACACACACACACACACACGCCTCTCGCCGCAGCGGCGGCAGGTGGCTCCGGACAATTTGGACATCGATGTCCTTTTTGTCTGGCTTCCCGCGCTTGCCGCGAGCGCTTGCCCCTCCTCCCCTTCTTCCCTATTCCCCACCCCTTTCGGCGTCATAGTTGCCATTCGGTAGTTCCCCTCTCGCTTCCACAGCGGCGGCACGTAACCTCGGGCAACTTGGACATCGATGTCCGTTCTGTCTGGCTTCCCTCGCGTGTCGCGGGCTCTTCCCCCCCCCCCCTCCACGCACGCACCCACCCACCTCTTGCTGCAGCGGCGGCAGGTCGCCGCGGACAATTTGGACATCGATGTCAATTTTTTCTGGCCTCCCTCGCTTGCCGCGAGCCCTTGCCCCCCTCCCCCCCTTGCTCCATATCCCCACCCCCCTCGCCTTCATCGTCGCCGCTCGGTACTTCCCCTCTCGCCTCCACAGCGGCGGCACGCATCCTCGGACAATTTGGATATCGATGTCCGTTTTGTATGTTCTCACTCGCTTGCCGTGAGCTTTTGCCCCCCCCCCCTCCCCCGCACACACTCAGACCCACCCACCTCTCGCCGCAGCGGCGGCCCGACTGATATCATCGGCACCTCACGGCCTCACTGCCGCAAGACAGTCCGAGTGAGAGTCATGAGCGTTCCTCCAGACATGAAAACGAAAAAGTGTCACATGTGACAAGTGTCCTCTTCCTCCTCCCCATCCTCGTCCTCATCATCAGCATCATCATCGTCAACGTCGTCGTCCGGCCCGAGAAGTGGATAGGAGGTCTCAGGTTCGCGTCCTGTGGTACGCGACCAAGATCGGCACCGGTACGCGACCTGCGGTACTCGACCTCGTATAAAATCAATAGATACGCGGCCTGTGGTACGAGCCCTGAACGGTAATGGTACGCCACCTGTGGAACGCGACCAGAATAGACAGAGGTGCGCGACCTGTGGTACGCGACCGTGTCTACAATGACTAGGTACGCGACCTGTGGCACGCGTCCTGAGTCATGGTGAATGGTGCGCGACCTGTGGCACGCGACCTGAATCGACAGCGGTGCGCGACCTGTGGTACGCGCATTTGTCTGTAATCTTTGGTACGCGACCTGTGGTACGCGTTCTGGAAAACAGTGCGTGGTGCGCGACCTGTGGTACGCGACCAAAAATGACAGCGGTGCGCGACCTGTGGTACGCGACCGTGTCTGCAACGAATAAGCACGCGACCTGTGGTACGCGCCCTGAATTCGCCGGCCCAACGGGCCAGGGCGTGCTAAGATCTCCGGTAACTGGTTAACAGTATTAACAGTATTTCTAGTTTTATGTCGGCAGATCATCCTACAGGGCCACATCGGGAACCCTTTTGTTTTTTTCCCCGCCAGGCTCCCGCAGAGGCATCCGCAGGCCCACCCGAAAGCACCCGCAGAGCATCCGCAGAGCATCCGCAAGAGCTATGTCAGGGTTCATGTTTGTTTCCTCAAACCCTTTCTTTTTTTCCATATGCACGTTTTCCTTCTCAGCGCCGCTTTTTGTTTTTTTGTATCTCCGTGTGCTTGGGCGCACCATAGCGAGCGGTTCACGCGCCAACACAATAGTTTCATTCATGCGCACGCACGCCCGACATGACATCAATACCACAGGCCGAATGCACCACGGCACGCCGCGCAATCTCAAGATCCGCTACCAAGAAGGCTGCTTAGCAAGATGCAGCCGTTGCTGGCGCAACAAATCACGGGGGGTCGCACTACAGTTCCGCTACCACTATCACGGGCAACTATACCCGAGTTGTTCGCGCCATACGGCGCATCCGTGTTTGCATCCACAAAAAACTGCCTCCTCCTCCTCATCCTCCTCCTTCTCCTCCTCCCCCCGTCCCCTTTCTTCCTCCTCCTCGCCATCCTCCCACACATCCTACCCCTCCTCCTCCTTATCCCCTTTTCTTCCCCCTCCTTCTCCTCCTCCCTCTCTTCATCCTTCTCCTCCTCCTCCACCTCCTTATCATCCTCCCCCCCCCCCATAATGCCATCTGGGTTAGGGGCCTTTAGGGTTAGGGGTCAAAGATATGTTGGTGTTAGGGTTAGTGTACCTTGGGCCCTTAGGGTTAGGAGTTGTTTTGAGGTTAATGTTAGAGTACTTTGGGTTAGGGGTCATCTAAGGGCGAGGGGTTCGGGGCCACCGCAGGTTAGAGGTTATATGATGGTTTGGGTTATGGGGTTATCTCAGGGTTAGGGTTATGTGCTATCTTAGAGGTAGTTTTAGCGTTAGCTTTAGCGGCTATCTTGTAATTGGGGTGGGGGTTAGAGCTAGGCTTAACATATCTTGGAGCCCTCCTGTTACACCCTCCATGCGCCTCCACATTGCCCACCTCATCCTCGCCTTTCGCCTCCTCCTTGCCCAACCGCATCCTCGCGCCCCTCGCGGCTATCCAACTTGTCCACTCCCATGCCTTATCATTCATCCGTCTTCGCATTCATCCACTCCCCCTCGTCCTACCGCCCCCCCGCGCCGTCACCCCCCCTTTTTCCTGGTGTTTTCCCTTCCTGTACGTTCCCTCCCGCCTGCCGTCCACCTCCCTACCCCGCCCGTTCCCTCCCCCCTCCTCCTCCCTCCATGCCTCATCCTCCCTCGGGCCGCGGGCTGGCGGGCTGTCCTGGGAAGAGGCCGAAGCTGATGACAGGCGGACGCCGCGCCCGCCCCGAGGACGACGACGACGATCGACGATCGACGACCGACGGTCGACGATCGCCGACGACGACGACGATCGGCGATCGACGATCGACGATCGACGACGACTACGAAACGACGACGACGACGACGACGACGACGACGATCGACGATCGACGACCGACGGTCGACGATCGCCGACGACGACGACGATCGGCGATCGACGATCGACGATCGACGACGACTACGAACACGACGACGACGACGACGACGACGACAAGGGTGAGGAGGACGACGACGACGACGAGTACCTGAGTATTCTTTTCCATTTCTTTTTAACCCACCCCACGTCGCAGCATCCCAGCTGTCGACCACATTACTGCAGCTTCGCTGCCTTGACTGCGCGCTCCACGAGCGCCGACGGCATCTGGTCCCACTTCGCACCCTCTTTCGTCGCGAGCCTCTTGAGCGCGAACACCTTCTCCTTGAGCTCCTCTTTGCTGTACTTGGCGGTGAACAGCGCGGCCACCATGCCCTCGATGTGGCTCTGCGCCAGAGCCTTCATCACGTCGTTCGCCGTCTTGGTGGAGTCGGGGCTCGGCACGCGAGTGAACACGCTGGCCACCTCCGTGTGCGACTTGAGCAGCTCCTGGATCTTGGTCTTCTCGACGTTGAAGCTCTCCGACGCGTGCTTGCACACGGTCTCCTTCGCCATGGGCAGCAGCTCGCTGAGGTCGTTCGCGTCGTTCGCTGACCCCCACCACGATTCACCGTCAGCACCGCCCTTGGCCCACTTCGCAGCGTGGTTCACCCTGTTGTCGAGCTCGGCCTTGGATATCCCCATCGCCTGGTCTCCGACGGTCTGGATGTAGTTCTTCGCGCTCGTGTGGGCAGCGACCAGGACCTCCTTCTGCTCGCACTCGGGGATGCTCTGCATGACCTGGCCGAGCGCGATCTCTTTCAGGATGATGGTCTTCGTGCTTTTCATGGGCTCCTCGTCCGTCACTCCAGAGCCGTCCTCGCTGCCGCTGGTCATCGAGACGTGCGCTGCAATGCTGAACTTCGTCTCGCCTGCAGCGTGGAACGCCTTGAAGATGTCGGTGATGCCGTCGCCCGCCACCAATGCGATGTCTTTCATGACACCTGCAATCTCGCCATTGCTCGCGTTCACCGCGTCCTTGATAGCGTCCCACACGCGGCTGCAGAAGGACGTGACCGCTTCCTTGCCCTCGACATCGAGTGAGCTCTCGGCGAGGTTATGCAGCGCGACTTTGACGGCACGAACTTTCTCAATGTCGATGTTGCCCGCCTCGTCCTTGGCGCCGCCCATCATCATCTCCTTCAGCCCGTTCATGATCTCCTTCGCTCCTGCCTTCTCGATCACGGCGCCGATGTGCTCCCTCGCGCCGATGCCGAACTCCTCGACCCAACACTTGAGGTCCAGGCTGTCCTTGAACATCTTATCCGCTGCGAGCAGCTCGGCCTTGCTGTAGGCGTCCCCGCCATTGACCACGCCGCTCTTGTCGAACATCTTCGACTGGATCACGCCGAGGACCCCAGCGATCTCGATCTCCAAAGTGCGGGTGGAGCCGGCCCTCAGGATCGTTCGGCAGGACTTCAGGATGTCGAAAGCTTCGTCGATGATAGCGCTGGGAAGACTGATGGGAGCCTCGCTGGTCTTGAGTGCCTTGACCTGGGCAGCGCTCTTGAAGATCTTCGGCATCCACTCCCTGGCATCCTGGATGGTGGTCTGCAGCTCCTCGTAGATCTCCTTCCAGTGCTCATTCAAGCGAATCATCACTCCCAGGTCCGCGAGGGCGCCCTTGGTCTTCTTGGCCTGCTGGAGGAAGAACTCGTCCAAGGCATCGAAGTCCATGTCGGCAGTGCTGTCGCTGAGGGCGCACATGACGCGAAGCACGGCCAACGTGTCGCTCGCGGCGGAGGGGATCTCCTCCATCTCTGCGACGCCTGCCTCAAACCGACTCAGCATGGCAGCGCACAGGCGCGACGCTGCTACCTGGCCAGCCTGATCCACCTGCATCACCGCTGGGACGATCTCCTTCAGGAGCACGCTCAGGAGCAACGTCATCCTGGAGTCACTCGAGCCGTCGATAGTCGCCATGCTAACCTTCATGGGGTCGAACTCCTCGGGGTCTGGGGCCATCTTCTCGTCGCCGTCGTCATCGCAGGTCACCTCCTGGCTCGCGTCCAGCTTCTCAACCGTGAAAGGCATGACGGTATCCACGATCTCCTTGATGCAGGCGTCGTCGGTATCTCCACTCGAGAAAGCCAGAATCGATGAGAACAACCTCTTCCCCAAAAGCTTGCTCTTGATGTTCGAATCGAAGTCCACCTTCTTCGTCACAAGTTTCCCCAAGATGGTGCTAAGGCTAACGAAGGTCACTTTCTCATTGGCTAACTCAGTCATCAGCTCCATGCAAAGATCGATTGCGTCGATGTGTTCGGTCAAGTGGTTGGCCTTCACCGACTCGCCCTGGCCAGCGATGCGCTTGACGCAATCCCTTGCCCAGCCCACGTGCCTCTTCAGGGGGGCGCCCGCGAACACTCTCGACGGGGCGATGGTCTCGTGCCAGTGCTCGGGCGGCTTAAGGCGGCCACCCTCGCCGTCCACGCCCGTGGCCGCCGCATCGGCGATCGACGGCGCGACGTTCGTGCCTGGCTTTGCCTTCTTCGAGCTCGGGGCCAACGCGAGGGTCGGGCTCGCGTTCTCGGACGCGCGCTTCTCCTTGGTCCTGGAGCTGTCCGCCGCTGCTGAAGTCCTCGGTGCCCTGGGCGTCTCTGGCGCGTCTGAGTGCTGGGGCCCAGCCGACGCCGAAGCCTGCCCAGCGTCGGTCGCTGGAGGAACTTGCTGCTGTGCTGCGCCTGCAGCTGCCTCCTGCTCGGCCTCGGCCTCAGCCTCGGACGACGCGCCCCCCGCGTCCGAGCCAGAGTCATCAGGAACATCACCATCGCGCACCATGCGACGCAACCCCTTGGGCCTCTCGACGTTCTTCTTCACGAGCTGCTTGATCGCATCCTTCTTGTAGGCGCTGAACTTCTTGGCCTTCTGCTGGCACTTGTTCCCGAACTTCTGCCCGCACGCGCGCGACCGATCAGCCGACATGTTCTCAAAGAGGTTGCTCGCCTGAGCTTTGTAGAAGCTGCGGCCCTTCACGAGGATGGGCGTGTCCTCCTGACGAGCCTCCTCGTCGCGGTCACCGTCAGCTTCGGAGGTGCATCCGTCTCCGTGGCCAGCACCACGCCGAAAGACTCCTCGCCTTTAGAGTTCGTCACGCGCAGCGTCATCACCTTCGCCTGGTCTGGCAGGCAGCCGTGCTCCTCCTTAAAGTCGTCGCGCGACTGGAAGGTGAACTCCTCTGACAAGGAGCTATCCTGAATCGTCTCCTCGTAGACCTCCTCCTGGGGGAACTCCCTGTCGTCCTCAGCGACAGCCTTGCCATTGGCCCACTCCTCCTTCTGCGCCTTCCTTTCCTTCCACTTGGCTGGCGACTTGGGCTTCATCGATGCCAACGCTTTCAACTCGAATCCAGACTGGTCGCCGAACTCGCCGCACTCCCTGCACGAGAAGAGGTCTCCGAACTTCTCGCACGTGGCCAGCGCCACCTGCAGCTCGCAGAACGAGCGCGCACACTTGGCACCGCGACGCGGTGCCCTCGCAACGCTGCCCGCTGCAGTAGCAGCCATCAGGGGCTGCTCTGTGCACTCGCTCAGTACACTAGCATGTCGCAGTGTGGCGAGTTCACCTGAAACTATGAACCTGATCCGCAAAAATGGTTACGCACATGGATATCGGGGGGGAGGGGCGACGACGAAGGGGCCGCAGATCAAAGCACCGCTTCTCATAGCTACCTCGTTAGCTCGCCCTAGATCCTAGATATAACATGCTATGCAACGGCGAAGAAGCACCGATGTCCGAGCTACCTCTTAGCTACCTCGCTGAATCACGGAAGCCGCTCCGTCTGGGCACCCGAGCAACCAGAAAACATTATCACACATGTTGGGCTGCCCCTCTCATGGGTCCTATAAAGCCAACGAAATTGCCGATGCACGCGTCAACCCCTGCTCGAACTTATCAGGGGCCCCTTGCCCATAATATTGTTATTATTCCGGAACGGTCTAAAGCCCAGGCGGCCCTCAGGATATATTTTTTGCTGTAGATAATGCCCCCTTGTAACTCATAGATAAACCTAATCCTGAAGGCCCCAAGATATGCGACCCCCAACCCTAATCCTAACCCTAACCTCAATACACCCCTAACCATAACCCTAACCCGAATCCTATCCTCAAGATAACCCCATAAGTCTGCCCCTGATAGAACCCTGAACCTCAACGTTAATATACTCCTAGCCCTTTAAACAATTCCCAACCCCTAACCCTATGATAACATCCAACCTAGAGCATTCTAACCCAACCCCTAGTCCCTAGTATAAACTCGAACCTTAAGGGCTCCAAGATATACCACCCCCGCCCCTGGTACAAACTTAACTCTAACCCTAAGGGCCCCTAACCCGAAGGGCCCCTAACCCGATCCCCAACCCGACCCCTACTCCTACCCCTAACCCTAACCCTAACACTCATCCTAATCCTAACCCTACCTCTAACCCTACCCCAACCCCTACCTTTTTACCCTAAGGGCCTTTAACCCTACCCCTAACCGTAATCCTAAGATAACCCCTAACACTAAGGACCCCCCCCCCCCACCCCTTTTTGTTACGCCCCCCTGGTGAAGAAGGGGTCGTGACATCATCCTAATATAACCCTATACCGAACCCTAAGATAACCCCTAACCCTAATCCTAACCCCTAACCATAATCCTAACCATAATCCGACCCCTAACTCTAATCCTAAGATAACCATAACCTCTGGTCCCAAGATAACCCCTAATCCTAAGATAACCACTAACACTAAGGGCCCCTAGCCCTAACCCTAAGGGTTCCTAACCCTACCCCTAACCCTGATCCTAAGAAAACCTCTAACTCCGAATCCTAAGATAACCCCTAACCCCAAATCCGAAGATCGCCCCATAACTTTCAAGCGTTATGTATGCTCCAACGAGATGACGTTTGAGAGGGCCCTCGTAAAACCCCTTACAAGGACCTTAACATGATCGAATACGCAAACCCCAGAAATCTTTCAAAATAGCCGGCTGTCCCTGGCATTTTCTGGCACACGGGACTTCCCCGAAAGCCCCGAAACGCTCCAGGAACGTCCATGGGGAATCGCCAAGGGCCCCAGCAGGGCCCCCTCCTTTGAAAACGCATACGATCTACCAGCCCAGCCCTACATCGCCCGAAACTCACCCCAAGAAATAAACCGGCCCCAAGATTGCATTCTTCCCAAGAGGCCCCAAAAAGCCAAAAGGTTCCAAGAGGCCAGCGGGGGGGCCCAAGAGGTCAGCGGGGAGGCCCAAGATGCCCCCAAGAGGTCCCAAGAGGCCAGCGCAGGCCCCAAGGGGCCCGAGTCCCCGAAGAGCCCAGCGGCCGTCAAGAGGTCCCCCAGGGAAATTTTCTCTACCCAAGTACCAACATCAGTTACCGGTGAGGAAATCAGATCCCCCCGTGTACTTTCGTCAGTTACAGAGAGGGAAATGTTCTATTGCATGTTTGCCCCTCGTGCGTTCGTGGGTTCCAGCGAGGGGAATTTGCATTTCAGGATTTCCGGCTGAAGGTGTTTTTGTTTCCCCGTTCCCTTTGTTTTTTGTTACCTGCACGCTGTGGCCCGTTTGTACGAGGGAAAAACACAAATCAACATTTCCCTGATGTGCCTGTGTACTTCGCAGAGAGGAAAAACATGACAACAGTTTTTCGGTTCTGCTCCTGCACGGACGCGGGTTTGGGGGCTCAGAAACTCCACCGTCCCCTTGCAGGGACATCCCTCCAGGGCATATGGAGCCTCTCTTGGGACCGATATTGGGCCTTAGTGCCCTCCCCAATTTGGCCTTACTGTAATCTCTCCTGGAGCCATCTTGGAGCCTCAATTGGGCCTCTCCTGGGAGTCTCTTGGGGCCATCTTGGGACCTTATTTGGGCCTCTGTTGGAGCCATACCAGATTGGAGCCTCTATTGTGCCTATACTGGGCCTGATTGGAGCCTCATGGGGCCTTATTGGGCCCTCTCTTGGGCCATCTTTGAGCCTCTAGTGGGGCCTCTCCTGGGCCTCACCTGGAGCCATCTTGGGGCATTATTGGAGCCTCTATTGGAGCCGATGTTGTGCCCTAGTGACCCCCGTTGGTGCCTTATTGGAGCCCCTATTGGAGCCATATTGAAGCCTCTGTTGGGGCACCTCCTGGGCGTATGTTTGAGCCATATCGGGGCATCATTGGGACCCCCCTTGGTTCCAAATTGGGGCCCCTGGTGTGCTTCTATTTGGCATGATGGGGCCCTCCTGGGGCCTTAGTGGAGTTTCTCGTGGAGACCTCTTGGAGCCCCCATTGGAGCCTATCTAGGGCCTCTCTTGGAGCCATCTTGGGGCATTGTTGGAATCTCTCTTGGAGCTTAAGAATGCCTATATTTGGCATTATGTGTGCCGCCTCCTCCTCCTCTATTCCCTCGTCCTCGTCATCCTCCCCCTCCTCCGCCTCCCCCCTCCTGCTCATGCCCCATTTGCCTGATCCTCATTCCCCCTATCCTGGTCCTCCTCCTCCTCCTCATCCCCCCTCCTCGTCCCCCTCCCCCTCCTCCGATCTCCTCCGGGCCCCCCTCCTCATCGTGCACCTCCTCACCCCCTGCTCCTGCTCCTGTCCCTGCTCCTGCTCCTCGTGCACCTCGTCGTCCTCATCCTCATCCCTCCTCTTGGATGGTAGTGGACATGTTGATGATGATGAGGAGGATGGTTAGATGCGTTGCGATGGATTGTTGTGTTTTTTTTTCCAGCTGCGCAGCCAGACGCTGCGCAAGCAGAGCAGTTCTCAGGGAACAGACTCGGGCTCGTCGGGCTCGTCTGGCCTGCGGTCGCGCTCAACGGCGAAGAGCGCGCCGCTGCCTGGCACGGCCCTGCGCTCCTCCCTGGCGGCCTGCCTGTCGCCAAAGGGCAGAGCGCAGCAATGGGCATGGTCGTGGAGGGCGTCGAAGTCGTCGCCCGTGCCCCTCTTCAGCCACAGCATGAGGGCGCCGAGCGGCCTGCCCTGACCAGCCCTCCAATGGGCAGTTGATCCTCGCACGGCCCTGGTCAATCTGCATTTGCCCCCGTGCCTGGGGCAATGTGCAACTAACTCTAGCTTCTTCGCGTAGTATCGGATGATGCCGCAGGGCGTGACGAATGTGATGTCTGCTGGGTCGCGAGGACCACCACCGCCGCCTGGCGGCGGAGGTGGGGGTGGAGGAGGGCCTCCGCCGCATCCGCCTGGATCAGGGTCGCCACCAGGACCATCACCACCGCCGCCTGGATCAGGGGCGCCACCAGGATCATCACCACCAGGATCATCACCACCAGGGTCGTCACCGTGTCCGCTGTCAACTGATACGTCGTCGACCTCATCTGACAGAATGGCCTCACCACCGTGGTCACTCCCGAACAACTCGTCAGTGTTTGCAACCGATGATGGGCTCTCCCAGCCGTCGTAGGAAAGAGACTTGATAGACCCTCCCTCGCCATGAATGTCATTCTCGGGCTCGGGCTCGACCATCTCGGGGTCACCGTCGCCGTCGCCGTCCTCGCCTTCGTCCTCGCCGTCGGCGCCATCCTCGCCCAACTCGTCAAGGTCGTCCAACCACCCATTGTCATCAGGTCGCTTCCGTTTTTTGCGCCTGGGCGCTGGCCAACGTCGCGTAAACTCTCGGTCATATTCGATATTGCCAACCACCAGCTGTGACGGCCGTATGGGCGATACGGGCCTGGACGAGGATTGCACCCGCATATCAGACAAACTCCAAGTGCTTGGCGTCGAAAAGTACGCATACAAGTTGTCGGCGACCTCGAAGTTCGTCAGGTAGTCGTCCAGGCAATCCAGCACGATAGCGCCGTCACCGAGCACACCGACATCCGCTGGCACGCACTGGCGATAAGTTGGCCTGTACGGCGAGAAATACATCAGGCCGATATGAGGGTAAGTCACAAATTCGCCCATCGGGCCAGCCTCATCACCTGCAACGTCTCCAGCGCTGGCGGCATCCCCACTCGAATCCTCTGGCACGTGATGGATCTTAACGACGATATCGCCAGACGACAATGCATCCTTCATAGACGTAGATTTGCAGTATAACTTGATGCCACTATCAACCCATTTTTTGAACTTCCAGACGAGGTCCCCCTTCGGGCCACACAAGCACACGCCTGCGTCGATACAACTTTGTTTCTGATGAGCTTTCTTAGGCGTCTCGTCGAAGTCCTGCTGGGAAGCATCTCTCTTCTCATCGTGAAGCTTGTCGTAATAGCTGGTGACCACCTCCCTGATCTTGGCGTTCTCGGACTTGGCCAGCAAGCCCACCATCCTGGGGATAATCTTCCTGACGGGGCAGAAATGCTCCAGGACGTATGCGCCACCAAAGTGGGGGCGAGCAACGAGGCCGTTCACCAATGGAGCCATTAGAGGGAGCGCGGCAATGAAATCGTTCACGTGCTGCATGCCCTTGGTAGCCCTCCATTTGGATAAGCTCATGGCCCTGTCGTGGACTGCGCGCTTCTTGAGGCGCCTGCAGAGGTAGTGATCTGCTCTGAGCGTGCCGATGTTCGTCGCGACGTCGCCGA